TCACACGACGCAACTCTTTGTCTGAAGTTGATTCCTGCCTGTTTTTTGCAGATCGCATTGTCATTCCAGAAATACTCAGGTCACGCGTGTTACGGCAACTGCACAAGAGCCATCCAGGAATCGCTCGCATGAAGGCGCTTGCGCGCAGCTACGTTTTTGGCCCATGATGGATAGCCAAATTGAAGATATTGGCCGATCGTGCTCCAGATGCATCAGTGCCTCCAAGTTACCGGTACGTTCTACATTACAAGCTTGGCCAAACCCTGAATCGCCCTGGTCGCGCATACACGTAGATTTCGCAGGACCAGTCGAAGGAGTGCATTTCCTCGTTATTATTGACGCCTACAGTAAATGGCCGGAGGTAATCACTATGCAAAACACGTCGGCCAACAGCACAATTATTGCGATGAGACATGTCTTCAGTCAGCACGGATTGCCAGTAACAGTCGTGTCAGATAACGGGGCACAGTTTACGTCCTGTCAATTTGCTGCATTTTGTGCACAGAATGGGATCGAGCATGTGAGGACGGCCCCGTATCATCCGCAGTCTAATGGCCAAGCGGAAAGATTTGTGGATACCCTGAAACGAGCATTGTGGAAGTCAAAAGAGGAGGGATCGTTGAACGAAAGATTGGAACGTTTCCTGTTGAACTATAGAGTTACCCCGAATCCTAATGCACCAGATGGCAAATCACCAGCTGAAGCACTTATGGGTCGAAGGTTGAGAACCACACTAGATTTGCTGACCCCCAAGCGCCCGTCTCTACAACTACGGAATTCAGTGATGGAGCGTCAGTACAACAGGCGGTATGGTGCAAGAAGAAGGATTTTCAAAGTGGGCGATCTTGTGTTTGCAGCTGCGAATCAAGGACGGCGGATCGCATGGATACCAGGACGAGTCCTGCGGCGCCGAGGCAACGTGATGTATGATGTTCAAGTGGGTACACAGGTGTGGAGACGCCACGTAAATCAGTTGAGGTCACGTTATACACATGGTGCCGCCGTTCCGAAAGCCAACGGACTTGACGTCAATGAATTGCTGGACACCGGCAAGCCTAGTACTCCTGCAGGTGGTGACGTTAGTCCAGTGGAATGCATGGAAAATGGAGCTCGCCACAGGCCAAAGAGAACAAGAAGATTCGTGCAGCCTCTCCAAGTGGATCCGCGTCGAAAGAGCTATGTGAACCCCAGGTAACCCGTTATTTTAAAGAGAGGGAGGTATTAGGAGAACAGCTATTCTTTACTCTTCCTATTTTCTATTGCTTGACTGTTGTTTAAACGTTCTACTGGGTTCGCCCGATTGGTACATCCGCGTCATTGTTAATGGACGCTCATCGTCATGCCCTTCTCAGCAGCGCTGTTTGCAAGAACATATTCTATTGGTTTTTTCTTCTCATCACTGTTCTACTTGGTTATGTTAAAGGAATATTTAGTGTCACACAATTATTGTACTAGTTTTCAACTTTGGGGTCTGCATCCCTTATTCGCGTTTGTTTCGTGACTTTTGTTTAAACGTTTCATTCCGTCATTCTGATTGGTCAGTGCCCGTCACTGTAAATGGTCGTTCGCTTTACGCTTAGAGTCCAATGATGCTATTTTTAGGGACCTACGCGATTCGCTCTTACATACACGGTTGCTTATTCGCCGTTGCATTTTACGTTTTTCCTTCAGTTGGTTGGCTCAAGTGTACTTTAGTAGCTTCCCTTCATTTTGCCTTCAAACTATATAAGCAACTGTGATTTCATGTATACAAGTCTCCTTCTGGCTCGTCTTTGGACTTCTTCTTGCGGTCGTGGGGTGAAGGCATCAGCGGCGACACAACAGAAACCACGATCAAGGCGAAAGACAGCCTGATTTTGAGTGCTTCGGTTCTCAAGTGGACCAGTAAGTTGTTGGCGAATGATACCCGTGGGAAGTTTGGAAGCAACGGAAACAGGGCTGATGCCTCGATTATTTTCGCATAAAGCGCGCTGACTATTCTTAAAGATGGGCACGACAACGGACAGTCGCCAGTCTTAAGGCTCCATTTAAGCGTTCCAAATTGTATTAAGTAGGGAAGCGAGTCCAGTAAACAAAAAGTCACCACCATCTTTCAGTGAAATGGAGAAAGATTGTCGGATTCAGAAGCCTTATTTCCTTTCAACACGGAAAGCATATTTTGAATCTTTTCAGAGTGGGAAGTGTGAGACATGTACTTCCCACGTCGACTCACGCGATTCGGCAACCGGCAATGTGTCGCAGCAGGCCTGCTGAACTGCTCGCGCTCCAAATCGACGACGATTTTGTACACATATCCTTTCCAGCGGTAACTGATCGCGATGTGACCGAGTTGCTTGTATGACTGGTTTGAGGCGACTGGGTGCCATTTCAGTCTTCTGAGGGTGCATTGTCGGAAAGTAGTGCTCGCAGGAAATAGACGAGCATCTTCACACAGGTGTAGCAACCGCTCATCATTATTATTACGGGAGCCTACACCCTATTGGCTACTCATAAGTGGACAATTCTCAAACTTTGGCGTTCAGAGCATCAGCCAGCAACACAGTATCCGTACTATTTCTGTAACGGATGAGCGTGTGCAACTAGTGATAGAAGTTGTCTTTCACCGAGTAAGCACTCAAATTTGTGCGTGCGTAGACCGCAATGACAAACAGGCACCGTTTGTTCTTGCGCGAACAATGAACAATGATTTATCACGGGATAAAAGCAAGTGCTTGACACGTCCCGTAGGATGGTAGCGGTGAATATGATGCAATTAAAATATGTCTGGGTCATCTATCGAACGTCTGCCGAGATGAATACTTTGATAATTAACATCAGTGTAAAATGAAAAAAATTATCGCGCGTCAACGTTCAGAAAGACACTGGGGTGCAGTGATAGTTGAGGTAAAGAGTGAGAAAATAAAATATGGTCGCTCACTTAGGTCCGTTTGATACACTAGTCCTGTTGAAAACATGCTTGGCGTAATCCACAATAGAGGAGCTTAGGTAACAAAATGTTGGGAGCTAAGAGCAACATCTAATCGTTTTTTGAAAACATCCAGGGTAGGAGAGGATACAACTGAGTTTGGGAGTGCGTTCCAGGGTTTGCAAACCCAAAGAGAAAAGTAATTCCGTCGACACTCTAGACGGCTATATTGTTCTTTCAATTTTAAGCAGTTACCCCTGAGCTGCGTGTTGTGGCTGTTTCAGCAAATGGCGGCATATGTGGTTGGGGTCACTCAATATCTGATACGCTAATATGAGATCGCCGCGCAGCCTTCGATAACGTCCGCTGAAATTCCCAGCAACTTCAGCCTTCGGTGGTAAGAGTGATAGCGTAGGCCCTTTACATTCTTTGTTGCCCTTCGTTGTGGTGCCTCTATCGCTTCTAGGTCGCGCTTCAACCAAGGTTGCCAAGCTTGGATTGCGTACTCAACATGCGGGCGCACGTAGGAATTGTGCATCATTGGGAAGATTGATGGGTCAAATCTCCCGAATGCCCTTCGCAGCATGCCGACGTGCTGGTTGCCTCTTTTCGCAGCTACCTCGGCCTGTTTTGAACAGTTGAGGTCGCTCTGTACGATCACTCCAACGAGCTAGGCAATCTGACAGCAGACGTCCGGCTGCTGTTCATCGAGATCCAATCAATCAGGACAGCTTCAGCCCAGTGACTCATAACGAGAACACAAACACCTAGTGAAACCAGACGGAGAGGGCCAATAATTGGAGGTTTGGAAACAGGGGGGGGCGAAAGTGAAGTTGAAACGGAAACGGATAAAAAAAGCACAAGCAGGGAATAAGAGGACAGGAAGGCCTAAACAGTAGCATCCTTACCATTATCTACCCTGTTCGATGCAGCAGATAGGGGTGCATTGATTATCCTCTGCGACGGCCAGAGAGTCAAGGAATTGTCTGAAGGGAAAGTCATCACTGGTTTTTTCCACTTCGTGGTTGAAAGCACGGACAGACACAATCAAGTGCATAAACAATGGTTCGTTCAAATCACTTGAAACCCACGATTCAGTAACACGGTGACTCGACAAACTGGACTTCCGAAATCAATATCTTCGTGGAAACGCAACACAAATCGCCGGTATTCAAGCAAGACTGAATGGTATCAACAGCCTACCAATTGAACAGTAGTTGGGTTGCAGACGCGTAAACTCAGTAGAACACTGGTGCACTTGTACTTATAGTGCATGCACGCATCATTTTGCTATATATACCTCACTGGTGGAGGGACGTGCAAAGATGATACTGCTATTTCCGTAAAAATGATCCCTCCATACGCCAGGTAAATGGCTCCCGTCTGCCGCAAAAGTTGCCAACCTATTTAACCGAGCACTGCCAACACAGTATGTAACGGTGATCGCCTACAACAAACAAAAAGAACGCGATGTGCAAAGTGAAAAGTGTGATGCGATGGTGCTGCAGTTTTGACAGTCAAGGTCATGAAGGTAGGAGGGTCCTACTTCACCGTGAAATGACATGCGTTAGTAAGCGAGATGTGACCGTTGGAGGGGTGCATAAAGGCCTGAAGACAGTGCCACATGCTTTTCTCATCCTTTCCAAGAATCCAGGAAGGAGCGAAGATGTGCGAATAAGAAATGACGTTTGCAGTGGAAATTTAGCACTAGGACTAATAATCGAGAAAAGTATATGGCATAAAAAAGCTGAAGTGTGATTACTGTGGAGTCACTTTGAGAGAGCTTCGAAGGTATGAGACAAATTTTAGTTGCAGCAACGAATGAGAAAACAGTTTGCGAAACAATGACTCTTCATCAAGTAGAGCGGATTTTTTAGCCTCATGCATAAGAGCTTTTCCCCCATCACATGGTGAACCAAAGGTTGTATGACACTTTTACAAGACGTTAGCGTTAGATACAACTAAGTAGTCAGGGCAATAAAAGAATGAGTGTTAACAAACAGAACAGGAAACGAAAAACTAGCAACGTGTGAGATCAGTAGCAACATTGCGAATGAAAAGCAAAATCAAGCAACACCTCTAGCTTTGCACTCACGCAAATGAACACGCCTGATGTGCAATTGTAAGTGGGTGCTACGAGAGAATGCCTTCGCACAAAACTCACATGTATGGGGGCGCTGATCTGGATTGGGGAACAGAAAGTGGGCAAATACAGGCGAACCGCAAAGGGAGAAAAGAGCAGCAGAATAGTGAGTGAGAGCACATAAGTAGTTACCTAAAGGATGAACAATACATTGCGAATTCAATACGTTAAATGATGCTCGATAATGCACACATCAGTTCGCTATGCGAAAGATAACTATAAAGAACAGTGTTTGTGGTGGCGTCGGATGATGTCAATAACTACAATCCATTAAACCGTGTCATGCGTGATCCGATCCGCGCCATGAAGACGAATATCGCGCTCTCTCTGATACCATCAAGAACAGAGCATGTTCACTTAATCTAGGTTCACGACGGAAAGGTGTAATGAAATACAAGAAGGCAAAAATCCGGCACTGGTAACCACAACACAGTAAAAAAAACATGCGTTAGCTTTTTTTCAAATCAATAACGTGCATATCGGAAAAGATACCCTGATGATATAGGTGAAATAGATTCCAAAAAGGAGACGTTGCTACAAAGGTCGCTAAACGGCGCAGCTTGTATCTCACAGAGAGTGAGGCCAACATCTAACAATATATTAACTTGGTAAGCAAACGTATCCAGAGCGTATATTCCGTCGGACTGCATCCGAGCCTATCATTATCATTATACACATCAGCTAGAGGTGGGAAAACACCTCCGCTATTGTGACGCAATACATGAAGGAAATACATACATACATACATATAATACAATACACAGAGGAAAAATAGATACAACAGTTGCATGCCAGCTGAGCTACCAGCAACGGATAGGCATCGTTCCGGTAAGCTTCCAGCCAGCTACTAGGCAAAAAGAAAAAAATTATATTATGTTTTACCCTAGGAAATGAGATCGTAGATGGAGGGGAGGCTAAAAGGGATGGGGAGGGACAAAGAAACTCACAGCACAAACGCCACTGAGGTCGGCTCCTTGCCATGTCAGCAAGTGTATCCAGCCAAACGTGTTCACCGTCTTTTGGACCCCAACCAGGGAGCCGTGACGCTCCAACCGAGGCTAGCTCCGAAGTGATGGACTTCATTCCCCTGGATCAAGTCATCGCTTGGCTACCTCCCCTCTTCTTCCACTCACATCCCCGGTGAGCAAACAATGCACGTTGCGGGAGTCGGTGGGCTGGCATGCGCAACACGTGGCCGAGCAATCGGAGCCTGGTGCGTGAAATAACGGTGCTGAGTGGTTCAGATCCCTTTCCTGGGCCGTAAACAATGCGTCGAACACGCTCGTTACTCACGCGGTGTTCCCACCATATGTGAGCCAAACTGCGAACGCACCGATGGTCGAACGTAACTAGCCTCTTCATGTCCGCCGACCTTAGGGACCAGGTTTCGCAACCGTACACTAAGGTCGAACGTACCGTTGCATTGTACACTCTACCCTTCAGGGCAAGAGTGATGTCGCGCCGCCGCCATAGATGGCCAAGACTAGTAAAAGCATTTCGAGCTTTTGCTATACGGTTTGTGATCTCGACTTCGATCCCAAGGGCGCTGATACAACTTCCCAGGTAGTTGAATTTCTGACTGACTTCTAGCTGATCCCCAACAAAAGTCAGCGCAGGAGGCGATCCCTGCCAATCTTGGAGGAACGCTTTGCACTTCGATGGTGCAAAGCAAAGCCCGAAGCGGCTGACAACCAGTGCTAATCTGTCTAGCTCGGCTTGGCACGTCTGGGAGCTGTCACAGATGAGAGCAATGTCGTCTGCATACTCCAAGTCAAGAAGTCGTTCTCCTGGGAATAGTTCCACATCTTCCAAGTCATGTCCTGTAAATGCAATCTCCATGACTTCGTCAATAGCGAAGTTGAAGAGGAAAGGTGACAGCGGGCATCCTTGTCTCACACCACTGAAGATATTGAAGGGTGACGACAGCTTGCCGTAAGCCCTCACTCTGCCCGTGCTACGCGCATATAATGCTCGGATAATATTTACATATTTCTCGGGCACACCTTTCCTGAGTAAACAATTCCAAAGGGCACATCGATCAACCGAATCGAAGGCACATTTGATGTCGAGGAACACGACTACGGTGGGCCGCCAATATGTGTGGCGGTGCTCCAAAGTCCGAGCCTAAGAGAAACACGATTGAACAAGACGCAGTAATCAACGACTGGTCAAAGTCTTGTCGGATGTAGCATCCGTTTTCGGGTTTTGTAATCACTGCGGCCTACATGGAGACAAGCACAAAACGCTTTCATTTACAGAAAGACCATGAGTAGGTTGCGATGCATCACCCACAGCTTCATCCACTTACCCCATAGCCAGCCTAAACCCGAAGGAATAAGACCTGGAGACATGTGGATGGGAGCCACGCTTCATCAACGGAGCCGTCCCATACTTCTTCAACATACACAGCAGCAGTATTTGGGAACCATGCGTACCAGACGTACACAAGTTGGTGACTTTGTCGTAGCCCGTTCCACACTGGATGGAACCACTGTTTGAGCCTATCCCAGTCACGAGGACAGAGTGCTCCGTCTCTACAAGCAACGATCAACTGTTTGACTGAGGTAGTGCAGCCATACGGGATATCAAACAACCAGCACAGAATATCACCAAAAACAAGCAGGATGACAGAAAAGAGTATATAATCAGCAGCTGAAAGGCAGGCACGCATACACACGTGACCAACTACAAAGATGATGCAGTAAACGAGCCATATCGACGGCATTTTTGGCCTGGGTTAGTAAATGGAATCAGAAGTAGCGTACTAACCAAGCGTTGCGATAATGTATACCAAATCAGCTGACTCGTCGTCTCTTTGACGTTGGTCTCGCGTGGCCACACTGGCAGCTTACTAGGCCAGTTTGGCTGAAGCACTCGTGACCGCATGTGCTACAGCACCAAGCGCTCGACGTCGATGATACAGACTCAATCGGCGCCAGTTGCTTCTGTGCCAAGTGTTCTACGCATGCAATAGCGCTTTCTGCTGCATTTGCGCAACCGCCCTCTTCATTAGCTCACGCCATTCGCGCCGATCCATTGCCATTACTTCCCAACACGTAAAATCAACATTAGTTTGTGACAAACTCACCTTGAGCATGCCCTGGTAACGTAAGTTCGGTTCTTTCACGTGCCGCTTCCCTGCACACAGTTGGCCATATAGCACCTGATTGGGTATCCGCTACGAATCCATGCGGCTAATAGGTCCGATAGATCACAGGTGCCGCGGCAGAAGTAATCAGTTCACTGTATACATGCCGCTGCAGCGGAACACATCCATGTCTGAAACCCGGTGCCACCCCAGCCGATGAGCAGACTCCAACGCGGGCACTGTCGATGGAAGCGCACCAGATAACGGATGTCCTTCCGTAAAGCCGCTCAAGCTTCACTGCCGTATAGAAGAACGGAAAACACCATCGAGCTGTATACCATCATTTCTATCCTAGTGGTTCGCTCTGCACCTGAGTCTCCACCCTTTCAAATGCAGCAGCCAACCTCGATCGGCGCATGCGCAGCTAGCTCGTCATTTGGATTTCGGTAGACATTACACTTCCAATGTAGCAAATCGAGAGGCAGTTGTTAAACGCCGTTACTAGTCTGGAGTAGGGGTAGGCCCACGGATTTCATTATCAGTGAAGGCTGAAAAAAAACAGTCTCACCTGTGCTACTGGTGAGTCCGAACATGGCCGCTGTCAAAGCCGGAGCCGAAGCCATGCGCTGCAACTCATCCGCGCCTTGTGAAAACAACACGCAATCGTCGAGAAATAGCAATTCACGGACGGTTGTCTTACATTCAAAAGTTCTCGCCCGAAACGAAGGATGTTCAGTAAGGCTCCATCAATACGGTGCTTCTACACGGATACCGCAATCAGAAGCAGCATCAAAAGCACGAGACGTCGTTGCATTTAATCAGTGTTAAACAGAGTACGGGCTAAGACACAGTCTTGCTTCACACCCCAGACGACATTAAAGTCGTCCGACGTTTGTCCACTTAATTGCACTGTGCAGACATTCCAGTATACTTAAAAAATGCTTCAGGCAGCCAAAGGTACCCAACACCAACCAAAGCGTCTCGCGGCTCACCGCGTCAAATGCCTTGGTGAAGTCTACAAACAGCGAGTACAATGGCCGGTGTTGCTCTCTGCATTTCTCCTGCAACTAACGAGTTGTGGACAGCATATTTATGGTGGTGCGGCCCAAATAGAATCCACATTGCTGTTCCGTCACGCTCAGTTTGACGACCTGAGTGAAGAAGCGATTGAGCAAGATGCAGGTGATCACCTTCCCCAGATAATTAAGCAGGCTGATACCACGATAGTTCGTGGCACATTGCATGCTCCCGTTGCCCTAGTACCGTGATAGCACAAGGGCATCCTTCAAGTCAGCTGTCTCCTCTTCTCCGAACCACACGTGTTGCACCGTGGTGCAGCGTATGAATCAACGCGGGTCTGTTGTGTTTCAACACTTTTGGCTGTAACCCATCGGCGCCGGCGCGTTTGACGTTTCGCAGCTGAGAAAGTAGTCTCTGCGTCGCATTCAGCGTTGGGGTACCGTCAAGACATCCTCAGCTCTTACTGCTGCAGCCCGAGCAATAGAACCCAGTCAATCTCTGAACGGTTGTTAAAAGACAATAAAAGTGTTTTCGCAAGATCTGACTTATATCTGCAAGTGGCATGCATCCACGAGCGCCCCCAGCAAAGAATTCCTTACGTTGGTGGCGTTCGACATAGCAGTACATTTGCTTCACCTTCTCCGTTCACCATGCAAAGATCTCTCGAGTCAATCGTTATCTAAATTTAGGAAATTGTCTCTCCTCTGCATCGACAGCGTCATCCACATGTGTAGCGAATGCTACATTCTTCGCCGACACCAATGCGCCCATAGTCGTAGTGTTATCTTCAAACCAATCGGGCCAATTACAGTTTGCGCGCCCGATCGTTTACCCGACAGCGGCCGTCACTTGTTCCCGAATGTCGTGCCACAGGTTTCTGACTGAGGTGACACAGTCAACTTCGCCAACGCCGGTAGCCATCGCCTTCTCC